GGGGAGGGATTGCATTGGAAGTTATACCTGATGTAAATGACGAGTTGATGGGTGCTGAGGAGTTGATGGGTTCAGCACAGCAACATGGCACAAGTATACATATGTAACAAACCTGCACGTTATGCACATGTACCCTAGAACTTAAAGTATAATAATAAAAAATAATTAAAAAAAAAACAAAAAGAAATACTCATTGAGCATCTATGTGCCAGGTACACATTTAAGTACTTGGGATACATTGAATAACCTAAAGATGGAGAAATTTTACTCTTACAGAGATTACATTCTGGCAAGTGTAAGTGCAACAAAGTTATTAACTAAGTAAATTACACAGTATATTAAAAGATGACACATGTTATGGAAAAGAGAGTATGGTAATAAGGATCAAATTAAGAAATTTAATTTTTATTGAAAATCTGGTCTCCTATTTTATAAATCACCTGGTTGTATTTTTTTGCCCAGTTTCCATGGGTCATTTGTTTTTTCTTAGAATATATTATGGTTTATTTTGTTCATTTTAGTCATCCAATTTTGTAGCCATGTCTTATTTTTCCCTGGTTTGTATACGGTAATTTTTGCAATTAGGAGATGGCATATTATAATTTAATCAAACTTATCAAAATTTCCTTATTTTCCCCTACTTTGTATAGAGAAATTTTTGCAAGTAGGAGATGGCATATTATAATTTAATCAAACTTATCAAAATTTCCTTTAGTAAGTATCTGTGCATTCTGTGGCTTTGTAATCTTCCTCATTTACAGGGTTCAAAATATAAATACTATCTTCCATGGTATTTTAAAGATTTTATACATGTTACTTTCCACATTTAGGTATTAAATTTTTTGTTCCACTTGGAATTTATTTTGTGTGTAAAGTGTTGTAAAAAGTTTGTTTTTAGACATACAGATAGCCAGTTAACATGGTACTATTTATTAAGCAAAATTTTTTTTTCATTAGTCATCTGAAATCTCATTTCTATTATGATTCATTTCCTATGTGTAAATCTGTGTCTAGGTCACTCATCAGTTCATTAGCATATTTAATCTCCCCTTTTCCATCTCAGGACCCAATACAGACTATTCTACAAAGTTCCTAGGGTGATCCTGTTAAACTATAAGACAAATCAGATTGCTCCTCTGCTATCAACATATGAATGGCTTTCCATAACATTCAGTGTAAAAGCCAAATTGCATTCTAGAACCTGCAGGGCTCTAAGGTGTCTTCCTCTCCCTCAGCCCCATTACCTCTTTGAAATCACCTCCTGCTATTCTCTGCCTTGCTCACTCAGCTCCAGCCATGCTGCCATCCTCCCTGCTTCTCAAAGATGTCAGGCCTCCTTTTGCCTTGGGGCCACAGTACTCCGCTGTCTCTCCACCTGGAATATTCCTTTCCCAGACAGCTATAGGGTCAGCTCTCCCATTGCCTTCAGGTCTTTACTGAAAAGCCAAGTTCTCAGTGAGCCCTTCCCTGGTACTTTATCTATCTAATTTCAGCCTCCTCCCTGGAATTTCATATTCTATTTCATTGCTTTATTTTTTCCTTCTTAGCACTTTTCACTATGAAAATACTTTATATCTACTTATGTATTTTGGCTACTCTCTGTCTCCCACACCAAATTGGGATAAAGATAAAGGAACTAAACTTAAAAGTGAATGGGGGTCAAAGCAAGTCAAAAGGGGCAGTTTTCCTGGGGTCCAGCCCCAGTTACAAGCATAAATGCTTCCAGGGGACAACTGTGCATTTTATTAGAGTGAAGCAGGCCAGCTGGGTGTGTGGTCAATTGGAGAGGGCATTCTTAGTCTAAACTGGACTGAGCCCTACCTCAGACCCAGCTACTTGTATCTCTGTTGGAATATGGGTCTTAATCCTCATTTTTTTTGTTTTGTTTCATTTTCAAGAGAGGCCAGAAACATGGATTTTCATTGTGTGTAACCTCCCAGATTAGGTGCTTTAGAGTACCTAATTTAAAATAGATAACAATGAAAAAATAAAGATAAAACCAAACTCGGCAGCTGACTGAAATTGGCCTCTGGGCAGCCTGCTGGTGTTTGGGGGACTCATAAAAGAAAATTAATTCCTGTTATAGGGAGTGAGCTTGCCTTGTATTTCTTGAGGCAGCCTCAGGTCACGCTGGATAGAGAGAATAAACTGGATTTACCACCTTCTTTCAATTTTTTTTTTTTTTTTTTGAGACAGAGTCTCGCTCTGTTGCCCAGGCTGGAGTGCAGTGGCCGCATCTCAGCTCACTGC